TAGGTCCCCAAAGGCCTATTTTCAAGGCTTCACGATCTTTCCGAAGCTACTTTAAAACGGCTTTCCAACCTCTCATCACGTTCAACCCACGGGGATCCCGAGAGTACTTGGACTTGGTTTCTCTTCTGCCCGTTTCTTTTTCGTCTCCATGGGGACACTTTTTCTGGCTGCCTCTTGAACTCCGGAACTTCTCAGGCTCATCTCTCCTTTTCACTGCTTCTCAAGGTCTTTCCAATATTCACTCCCTTCATTTACACCTTTACATCGCTTGCTTGGACTCATGCAACACTCTACGTGGGCTCCTGGCTCCTAAGTTCTCCCAATGCTTGCGTATCTTTCATGCTGCTGCCAGAATAATTTTTTTAAAGGTCAAGTGTTTTTTTGTTTGTTTGTTTGTTTTCTGTTTTTTGTTTTTTTGTGAAAAGACCTCTATTATCTCCCATTTCCTACAAGACAAAGCCCCAAAGCTCAGCACACCACACAGGGGCCCTTCATCTTGGCCCTAAACCGACCTCTCGGCCTCAATGCATCTCTCTCCACCTGCTAACTCAGAACTACAGACACATGGAAATTTTTTGTTGTTCGGATTGCAACATACACTCTTGCAAATCTCTGCCTTTCCACGTTTCCTCTTCCTCAAATGCCATTTTCCCCCCTATTCCCAACCACTTCCTGACCCGGCTCCTTTCTCTATTAAGCATTTAAATGTTTGTTTATACGTCTATTCCCCTGGGAAAATAAAAGCATCTCAAGGAGAGGGAAATGCCTTTCTTGTCAGTAGCTCCAGATTCCAGTACCAAGTAAACGCTCAACAAATATTTAATGACTGAATCGTGAGCAATCAACAGACATTAAAATGAATTTAAAAAAAAGAGTTGCAGTTTGAAATTTTCTCCTTAGATGGACTTGAATAATAGGCAAATGAAACGCCCAAGCTCAAACCTCGAGGTAAACATGGATATTCTGAAGGACGGGAAGACACAGGACAGCAGGGCAGAATGCTTAAAACCTGGACGATCCCAGAGCTTCGAGGTGGTCCCTCCATGGCGGCGGATATACGAAAGACCTCATTACCTCCGTCCTTAAAATCCTTGAATGGCTTTTTAAAGATAAAGCCTCATCCTTCGTTTGGCCCCTGCTTAACAAACGTGCCCTGTTCACTCGAAGCCTCATCTCACTCTACTCTCCAGCTTACTCTGAACTTGAGCGGCACAGGCTGCCTCTTCCACTTGGTTTTGGCACAAGCAAATCTGCCAATGATAGTCTTTTGTATATTCTCCTCCCTCAGACTAGTTCGCTCTTACTCTTTGGCTATCGGCCGGAGGACTCCTTCCTGAAGTCCCCATTACATGGTGACAGAGCACGAGTGCATCTCATCACATAGTTGGAAGGCAGTACATACAGTACAGTATCATGACAATGGCTTATGGGTCCTTAGGCACATCTATGGAACCTGTTACGGCTTACTTTCCTCACCTCTCAAATTGTGGTAATAGTAGTACCTACTTCATAGATTATTGAAAGGATTAAGGAGTGAGATAGTTCAAGGTCAAGCACTTAGAACTGTGTTGCTATATAGTAAGAGAGGACTAAGTCAGTAATTACCATACTTAATTAGTTGTCCCGCTCCAACCCCCCACAGCCCTCTCTCTACTCCTCTGGCCGGGGAACCACTTCAGCCTGCCTGGATCCTGTGTTTTCTCAGCCTCAGCACAGGGTCCTGCACGCAGCAGGCCTTCGATATGTGATCTAAAAAAAATTACAAATACCAGGGCAAAAGCCCCCACGTTCCTTTTTGTGCCTCGGTGGCTGGCAGACTGCAGGCGACTCACTCCTCCCGCCTGTGCCTCGTTTATCCTTATGGAAAACACACTATCTACCCAGAAGAGGTATAGTATTTTTTTTTAATTAATTAATTTTTTTTTAGGCGAGGCAACCCTTGGTTGACCTCACAGATTGCAAGGACCTTGTCAGCTTACACACCCTTATTTTTTATTTTATTTTTATTTATTTTTTACGCCTACAGCGCCTGGTCTTCCTAGGTGGTCTCCCATCCAAGTACTAACCAGGCCTGACCCTGCTTGGCTTCCAAGATCAGACCGGATCGAGCGTGTTCC